GGAATATTTCAAGGTATCAACTTTATAAGTTATAATGTCAAGTGTTAACATATTGACTATTTAAATTATGTTATCAAAAGGTGCACCTAGTTGATTTATGACAGGTTTATGGTAAAAACGATAGTTTGAGTACGGAGGAAATTTTATGAGCTAAAAATATATTGCCAAAACTACGAACGTTGAAATATAGTTTTTACCGATCATCTTAAGTGTCGAAACCAAACAAATTTCAACCAGTTGTTTCATTTAAATGAATACCCAATTATACATCCACTTTGACAAAACCATCACAACTCAAAAACCCTCAATCCGTCGAGCTACGTACAAGCCGTAATCTTTGTAATTATTCGATTTGTGCAGCGATTTTACGCCACTACGCCCGTACTTTCGCAAACACATTTCAAATCCAGGAATTACCAAGGAACGGTAAAGACGCCATTACAGTCAGGTTAGTGGTCGACGTCAATTCCTGAGATTGCTTACATATCCCATATTGACCCCTGGTTTCAGACAGGTTAATGAGTCCGGACGACCGGGAGTGACCTATCATGATAATGTGACGGATTATACGACAAACGGGACGTGGAGAAACTGACGGACTTAAACAAAAACACTTGTAATGGTAATAACATTCAGTATTACATCTGGTACCGTTACTGCAGTGACCAGATGGGTCTTCAGACTTCTGTAATCTGAGGAGGATTGGGACATTGACTGAGGATGGTGCAAGTGGAGTCATTACTTTTAAAAGGCTGATCCATAAGAAAAGAGTGGAAAGGTGTTTTTTTAAGTTCTCCCATAGTCTCATACATGGTTACTATTTCAAGAATCGGTATGAAAAAAAGTAGAGATAAATTAGTTTTGATAGGTACTTTCTATACCTGTCGTCGATTAAAAAATACCGTGGTTAGTTTCATATAGGACCCTTTGCAAAGCTAGAAATTTTCAAAAAAGAGATGAAAAATGAAACACATTAAGACTAACTATAGGAAAATAGATATTTCTATAAGGTTTCATGTTCACTTGGTTATATTTTTCAATCTTCTATGGATAGGCAGTTCAATTTAACAAAAGTTGTATGATACATGTACTACATTAGTGACTTTAGAAGAGTAAGTAGATTACTTCAAAACCCCGATGCACAAGGAAAATAGGTACATATGTACTTCAAGACACTGTATCTTGTACTACCATATATTAAAGCGTTTTAAAACAACCGTTTATTTTACTTCAAAAATTCAGATTTACCAAATGAAAGTATCTTGTTTGGGCGAAGACTGAAGATAGAAAGGGTGAATGGATACGAGACTTTCAAAATGAAAAGCATTCTCAAAAGAATTGCAGTGATAATATTTACATTACTCCAACTAGCGAGGATCTTATTTAGTTCTACCATGTTGTTTAAATCAGTCATTTGTAACATTTTTAAATCTCTAAAAGGCTTTAGAGAAAAATGCACGCTCAAGATTTTCTCTCAAGGCATTCGTCGAAAGTGTCAAATCATGTAGAAAAAATATCTCAACCGACTAACTGCTTTAGTGACATCTCAAGAACCTATGTCTTTCCACGATTTCACCTCCACACTGCTACGTACTCAGCTTAGACAATGTTTACGTGGTACACTGTATGTGTGATCGCGCAGACAATAGAGACTCCAACGGCCGGTTTGAGCGAAGTCGCCCGTCATTCGTGTGAATGGACCAGATGCAGTCTACACTTTTGTGCTCAAATAGACGCTGGTTGCTTCTGGTCATTAAATGTGATTATGGCAACGTTCATTGATCTAACGTTCAGTAACACAAGTGAATAAAGTTTTGTTTTAGAATTCGAGCAAAATTAATTGAAAATAATACATACATATGTTTCGATGCATGGACATAGCTAATTTTACTATGAAAAATGTTAAATAAAAAAAGAAGGCCAAGACTGCGTTGGAGAGACCAAGTCTTGAAAGATGTAAGAAAATTGGGAGCAAGAGAAGAATTGACCGAAGACAGGGAAAAATGGAGGCGGATCGTTGGCGAGGCTAAAAACCACCTTGGGTTAACATGGCCTCAGGAGTAAGAGTAAGTAAGTATGAAAACTCGGTTGAGGGAATAATAGCGAACAAATGTAACTGAAATTATTAATTAGTTTTTTAGTCTTTGGATAGCGGATATAAAAACAGAATCCTGCAAATTTGTGGATGAAGTAAAATTTATTTAAAACCACGTTGATAGAGAATTTTACGTACAGCTGCTACTGTCATCATTAACATCAAGTTACTAAGGGACGGTAAGTATTTAATTTAAATATTTATCATCTTATAACTTCAATATTAACGATTTATTTTTAAATCTCAGTGTTAGCGTGCAGTAGTTTCAGCTTATAAGGATTTAAAAAAATTCAAATCCTTTTGTAGCCTTTCATCATCAAAAATACAATACTCCTAATTATTATAACCTCTGTACTATTGAAAGCTTTTCAGAACGTCTTTTTCAATTAGTAGTCTGCAGAACCGTTTTCAGGTACGAAGACCAGATTTGATTGGGAATTGGCAAACCAACCCCTAGAAGGGTCGGCAAATTGATAAACTCTTAGATTTTGAAGGGGACCGACTCACTTCAATTAATATTGCCCTTCCGGCGCGCAAAAACTGTGCAGTGTGACGGGCGCAAAAAATAGTCTGTTACAATTATTATAACTCAGGGCTCTGCAGAAGGGAGTCGAAAAGCGTTTGAAAGTTGTCCACTAGCCTTACAAGATGCATTTATTTATTTAAAAATCGGTAAAAAACAAATTGAATTATGTAAATCTCTATATATGGCGTAAGTATAAGACCAAGAAATGTATATATCCTTGATACAGCTAAAAACGTTGAAAGAATATAAAACCATTCTGAATTACTTAGAATTTCCGAATCAAGTTTATTTAACCTAATCATTGGACTAAAAAAAATAGTCACAGCTAGTTTTAAATGTTCATCTACATCATTTCACAACACGAAGGGGTAAACGCAGTAGTTCGTTTATAGTTTAAGTATTTTATACAAAAAATAACAACGTGTCGACAAAAATTTTGAAGTATATGTTGAAAAAAATGTATATGGAATCAGCGAGAACTACGATGGCTCAAAATATAAAAGAAACTGCGTAGAAACTTGTATTAATTACCTCATTTTATGCACTTGTTGTTGTTAAAAGTTTAAATTCACCCTGAATATGCTATACAAGCTTGCAAAATGTGTAGGGTAAAATAATCATTTACCTTAAGAACAAAGGCAATTGATTTAATTGTTCTTGAAAATGGGATAACACGAAACAAGTAGAAACTTATTCACGGTTCTAAACACCATACGCTGAAGAAATTTTAAATTTCAAAAAATTATGTTTTGGAATCTTGCGTCGTCTTTAAATAATGTAAATTATGTACAATAATATTTGCGCGCTGATCAAGAACTTAGCTAAACTGCACAAGGACAGAAATTGCAATAAAATTCAAACACCCAAATACTTTGGTAACTAAAGCATGCATACTATAAAAATATTAAATATTATCCAAGTTAAACTACAAATCCAACACTACCTCTGATTTGTCTAAAAATAAGTACATACCTAATCCTTCTGCCAGACATTAAACAAACAAAAGAAATTACAACTCAGTAACCACCACCTGGTAAATCTACAATTATATGTTGGGCACCTTAACACACAGCTGATACTTACGAGAGAAATACGGTGACTTTTGACCCTGCCTCGTATATACGGGAAGTCACAGTTACCTTCCAACTGGGCTCTTATCTCTTCAAGTAGATTTGTAGACAGACTATTCTAAATCTAATTGTCTGTTTTAGTGCAGTGTTTATTTATGAAAGAATTTTATACTGGAAGATTGTGTCATGATAAGTTACTTGTTTGTGTGAATTGTGAAAATATTTTACGAGTACTAAGGTGAAACTTTTTGATTTTGTCAAAGATATTTAATTGTTGAGGTAAGATTACTGTGATTTTACAAACGTGCAAGTATTACTTTCAGCCCACGTAATTTCAACAAATTTAATATTAGTTTCAAAAAGTTACGTCAAGTTAATATAGAATTCAAGAGAAGTTTTTGAACTTGATTATAAAACTGAAACTCCTCTCAACTAAATATTTCTCGTACGTTTCACATATGAAACTTAGCCGACCCATGGAAGCCTGAGTCTGTAAACTCCATTAAAAGTTGTATTTAGTTCCCCTCATGTGACTGTTTAATCTAATTTCAATTTCGCAACTCGGAGACGCTTTGCGACTTTCAATTTGCTGTAAAAATCGAGTTCGCATGGATGAAAGGAACGCGGTTTAGCTAAGAAATTGTAAAAGTTGGCTAAGGAGGCCCCACCCCATGCCCGACGACAAATAACAGCTTTTTGAAAAATTGCTTCTTGCATTGTTTATGAAACAGTGTAATTGCATAGGGAACCTTGCAGCCCCCAGCTCCCAACTTAATAACACCCCCCCCCCTCCATCACACATAGACATAGTGTGGATTTTACTAGTCATGGTGGTGTACAATTAGAATATGTTGTGTGGTGTTTCTAAACTAAATAGTAAATTGTGAAACCTTTCTCAACTTAGTGAGTAATTTACACAAATAAATAATAAAAACTCTCAAGTAAAGTACATAAAGTTATTCTTTCAAAATGTGTATAAAAATCGTGCAGTTAATATTTTTTATGAATATATGATAACTGTCTGGCAAACAGTTGAAAATCAGTCTCAATTGTATTAAATTAAATTAAATTAATATCATTCAGATAATTCAAAATTAATAGTTCCTTAAACGAAACCAATATATTTTGAAAAAGCTATTTGTAACCTCACTCAAACAAAAATGCTTGTTTGATTGACTGTGTGAAAATATAATAAAATAATTTGATTCACTTTATGAAAGCAAATTGTATATAAAATTAAGTAACGTGCTAATAAAAAACAAACAAAACATAACAAAGGAAAAACAAAACAAAAATTTAAGGGCGAGAACATCACATTTATTGATATATAACGTATCAATGGTTAAATTGTTCTTTTATTTAACAATAAAACAATTAACTAGCTTATAAAATTTAACTTTATTACAACTATGTACAAGCGGAAAAATTAAATACTCAACAGCCTTAAGCTAGAATCGATGACAGATAAATCTACATTGTATAAAACAAAACAAATAGTCACAAATAATAATAAAGTTATTAAATAAAATATAATATTATATAACATATGCACAAATAGCGAGGAACATTGATTTTACGGACTAAACCTAAACTAAAGTTTCATTTATCACTAGCTTGCGGCAGACGGAGTTCTGGGGGCTATAGACCTAAAAACCGAACAACAAATAATTAGACAAAGAAAAATAAATTAAACTCAAAATAAAAACAAATAAAATTTAAGAAAACGAAATTTTTTGGAGAAAATATATATGAAATTCGTACCAAAAATAAAAACGAAAAATTAACATACATAACAGTGTTGGTAAAGTACACAGATTAATTACACAGTGGAACCTCGATAACAAGTCACTCTTGATAACAAGTATCTTTTTCAAATACCTCTGAATGTATTTTACCTCTAATTGCATATTATTGCAATCCTTGATAACAAGTAAACCTTGATAACAAGTAGACCTTGATAACAAGTAAACCTTGATAACAAGTATAATTTAGTAATCCCCATGATAGTCTTCTTATCGAGGTTCTACTTAATATATTCCTAAATATTATTCAACGTAGAATGGTGTCCCAACATATAATGGATTAAACTTTGTTGGTTACTAAATTATCTGACTTAATGGTTAGCATGCAGAACAATCCTACTTTGGAAGTCACCCCTAGGAAATAGTTAGCAAAGCAGTTAGTTGGCAATGTTATGTGTAAAGTCCAAAGTCAATAGTGAAAATAGGAATATTAAGACGTAAAAATTTCTTAAATATGAAATAGGCCTATAGTTTCAGATCTTACTGTACCCCACAATCGTTTCGACCCATGTGATGAGAACTATTTTAACCTAGCATGTAAAAATGATGAAGAAACTGAAAATTTCATTGTTATCCATAAGATGTAAAACATCAAACATTTCTCATAAGAAAATGAATACTTAAAAGATTAACGGGCGGAAAAGAAACAGAAAAAGAGATTGTAAATAATCGATAATCTTCGTCTGATGTGGACAAGAAATAAAATATCTCACATAAGCCGGGCTGACGCTATCCAAACACTAGCCGTAAATTATATCTTACAGCCTCTAGCAACGTCGCTACAAGAGAAATATTACTTTGGGAATACGTGTATTTCTTTTAATTGAAAATATTGGATTTTGTATTTACTGAATACAGGTTTTGTATTACCGAATACAACAACCTATAGTTAACACGCGAAATACATCGTTTCACGCTTCCCAAGAGAACATTGAGAGTGACTTAAAGAGCGAGAACTTAAAAATTGAGAATATTTTGAGTTCGAACCACGGCAAGAGTTGCTTAAGGAACATTTTGAAGACCTGACATTTGACAATAAGAAATCGAGAATAAATTTAATGTAACTTCATGTATTCATTTAATGTATTCATTTAGACATCAATGTTGTAGCTTTAAACTCAACGTAGTGTGGGAATGTTTCTTTGAGGCAAATTAACGATTTTGACAATTCCCAATCTAAACAGACTGTGCTAGAGCAAAATAATTTAACTACTTATCTTGAGAAGGTTACTACACTTTTAAAGTTCATTATGGAGATATTGTCAGTTCGAAGCAGTACGATACTAGATGAGCAACAACTGTTATATATTTCTTCGTTATTATTTTGGTAACTTTGAAATCTATTGCAAAGTGTTTATTTGTTAAAGTAACTTTTTCGAAAAGAGATGCGAATATGAAAATGAATTCTAATGTCTTCAAACTGTTGAACAACCAAACCACGAGAAACGAACACGACTCAAAAAACTTAAACAGGACACGTTTTGCATTTTGACAAAAACCGTCACGATTTCTACAATATTTCTCTAGACGAGTTTCCTCTATCTTCGGTGACAGACGGACCGGGATCAATACCAACAATTAACCAGGGCCAGACAGAGAAGTCGCAGAAGGCGGTCGACCACGCAAGTATGAGAATCAATCGCATCTATCACGATAGTTCGATATAACTTTGCATGTCCCGCGACTGTTTGCTGCACTTGGGGAAGTCAATTATGGAAGATTGAAACGTCCGTCTCTCAGGAACAGGGTTTGGGGTCGGTATCCGTTAGTCGATGAGGGGTAATGTTCAAGTTTGGAAATGAACTGTAGGAATTACAGAGAATTTGTGAGAGTACAAAGTGTGTATAGTTGCTCAACGCACGGCGTTTTCAAGTAAAGTTTTGAAACAGTCGCAAATTACGATTTTTTAACGCGTTACATAATTCGTAAGTCCTTTGTTACGTTGCGACATACATGTCCACTATCCACCACGCCTCGGCATTGCCAATCGGCATTAGCGCCGATTTATTTAACTTCATCTACGCCACCCCAGTTATGATTCATTTTAACCCGTAGCATTAGATCGGCCATTTTGTCTTTATTGAGAAACAGCTCTAATTCTAATCCCTCCCCCGGATCGGGTTTAATTTATTTCTTACGGACAGGGGGCGCCATAAAAGAGTACGACACATGGGACACTCCCTTAGGAACAATAGGAAAAAACTAACTCCCTTGAAAATGGCTTTATGGAAATGCCATATTGGAAACATAAGGGCAGCGATGGCCGCTCCAGATTGCAATTACATTATTGTTTTAGCGATCGCCATCTTGGCTCATTTCGATTTGGAATTTAAAGTCGCCCGCGGTCGTAAATCGCGACCGGTCGAGAGTTTATGTGACGGTATATCTTGCGACTGCGACCGCTCATATGGGAATTAATAAGGATTGATGAAAGACAGACGCGATCGTCCGAGACGTACAAAGAAGTGAAATAATGATGGTGAGGAACAAATACATCGCGTTTTAGCATTGACAATGTGACTAACTTCTTGCTGCGAATCGGCGGTGTTGCTAAATAATACAACACTATTGTTTTGCTTGTAGAAGCGTGTGGTTAACATCTTGACGTCGGTTTTGTGATTTTGTTGTATTAAATCTTAACCACTTGAAAACACGACAATAATGATAAACGGAACAAAAGATTCTAATTAAACTTAAGAAACACTTCAAAATCCAAGATGCAAAGATTGCGAGAACCGAACAAAACAGATATTAAATTAAAACGAACCTTTGAGCGAATAAAAAGAGCAAATCAAATCGAGAGCTTTCAATAATTGATAATCAACTCGGAAGGTAATTATTTTTCAGTTTACAAAGCAAAAGTCTATTTGAAGCCCTTTAATTTTATGCAAGTTCGCCGACTGAAGGCCTTATCTGATTGCAATTTGTGTAATTATTTAGATTTTCTGAGAGTTTCGATCAGCTGTAATTGCTCATTACAGGGGGGAGCGTGAGTCAGCAAAGAATTCATTAATTTTTCATCCGGGGAGAAAACTGTATCGGTGTTAGCATCTGGTACCAATTATTGTCACTGTTCCTATATTAATGAAGGCAGGTAGTGTCTAGTCATGGCGCACGGGAACCTAAAGGTGTCATTCTGTGGGGGAGGGACAATACTCGGAATGATACAAATCTTTATTAGATTTGTAGAAATTCTTTCATGTCATTTTATAAAGTGAAATATTTATCTTCCAGACTTTAAAACGCGTGTGCTTCGAGGTTCATGTGAGTAATAATAACCATGCTAGAGGAGATGAATTAAATATTTTCAAAACTCACTACACATTGTTTTAAAGGAAATTTCTTAGAAATCTAAGTGCTAGAAAATCTAAATATTCTCTAACAGCGATTCTTGCTTTGTTTAACAAGGTTTTCTTTTAGTAAGACACCGTCGATCATAGATAAACCTCATATTAACACTATAGTCTGTATGATGGAACCTTTCTCCATCTTTCAACCTGGGACTGGCCTCTACCTCAATTTGCCACTCCCAAGGTAGACATAGATTCTTGAGACAGGTTCCATCACACAGACTATAGTTCAGTGGCCGCAGCACTCGTGACAGATCCAAACCACTTAATGCGACGAAGAAACCGTTACCGGTGAACTACTGGGTATATTTGAATATCTAAACTATCTGTATATTAGCATCCGGGCAGCAACCCCAGGAGCACGCGGTCTCCACGCGCTAAGAAATTAGAATTATTGTAAAAATTGGCACGAGTCGGACCAACCCCCAACAGGGGTAGGTGATATTTAAATCGGAAGGTGTTTAGCGCGTGGACTAAGCTATGATAATGTGAAATTTGAATACGGTCTAAGGATCGTGTGCCGGGAAATTTGCATGGGGCGTAAAGGAGTACGGTAACATTATGGTAAATACCCCTTGAGATTAACGGGTAGTTTGTGGATTGGTCTAGCGGTATTGCTGTAGATTATTTTGAGGATGGATAAGGATTGAAGGAACGCACTACACCGAACGTTGCATTTTCTTCGCTTGACTCCACAAAAAGGTTATTTTACTCACAAAACAAGGGCAAATGTGTAATTGAAGCTCGAAGCCCAAATTGATGATCTTTTTAGCATGCGAAGCAAACATTTTGAGTATTGACCATGAGACTCTCAGTAGCGACGAGGCCTTGATACTGGACGATTATGCGCAAACCTTTGTCACTCAGTGGGTCAAGGGAGCAATCAATTACGATTTGGGCATTACTTGCTGTATAACACGTAGTGGACACTGTTGTTTTGTCAACAGGAATATTCAAGGTTGCGATATAAAAAAATTAGAGGTAGAGCAGCTATGTCCTAACCGAGAGTATCATCATAAAACTGAGTATAATATCGAAGCGGGATAGATATTGCTATTGAAAACTATCCAATCCATGAATTATGTAGAGGAAGAGTTTTTTTTACTAGAAATGCTAGTGATTTGTAACGAAAAGGAATCGCTAACCACACGTCAAATAGTAAATCATAAACAGTCGAATTCGATTACACCATTTGCAAAAGTTTGACACCACGCAGTCGCAACAAATTACCTCACCTTAACCAAAACAAATTTATCACCGGTTGACAATCGGTTGCGACACTTCGATTTATCGTTCGATAAAACCGTCGAACGCCATCGCACGCAACGCGAACCCGTCGCGGCGATTTGGTAAAACAATCGAGAATAACTGTTGGGAAATTCACCGTGGTGGGGGAAATGAGGGAATTTGTCCCCGCGGACAGCTGATTGATGGAGAAAGTGTCCACCGTAATTACGTTATTCCACGTCGGTTTCGTCAACGACAAACGACAATCCGAGTGAACGTTAGACGTTAACGTGCTTTGGAGGAATAACTTATGGTTGTGTAACGGTATAGTGTTCCACGACTTTGGATTGGATTGAATGCTTCGAATCAACTCCGTACATAGTTTTCCAGATACATATTAAGCAGTTACAGCTGTGCTTAGCCCATCACAGATATTTGTAGAGCGTATCGGTTAATTATTGTGATAGTCTTTGGTCAGTAACCAAATAATCGACAATTTTCATAATCTTAAGAACAAAAGATGAGCATTTTGCGGTCCATCCGTTAAACACTCTTCACGAGTCTGTACGAGATAAAATATTCCCGCGCCTCGAGATATGTTAATTAGACAACTCACTAATCACAGCAATTTCCACTCAGAACAAGTTCCAGCGTCGTATCCAACAGAAACTCAAGACGAGTCTTAAAGGTCGCCCAAATGAGGCGCAGATAAATGTCAACATCCCGCCTAGCTTTTGGAAATTATCGGCTGATTTATAATCATCCTTGTTTCGGATGAATAATTATCCGAATCCTGTTTGACCCACGTCCGGGCTTTATGGGGCAAATAAACCGTACGTCTGTGAGGATAAATCCCAGCTGGTTTTACGATCAAGAGACACCTCGACCTTACAAAGAGATAACGCGAGAGGCTTTCTACGTTTCGAAAACTCGGGTGTAGCTCGGGGAATGATTTATGTGAGTGTGGAGGAGGCTAAAAGAATGGATCTGACACAAGGGTTTAGTGAAAGAAATGGAAGACCATTGGCAATGGAAAGTTTGGATGGGATTTTGTTAAGGTATTCAGTATTTCATCTTTCATCCATTACAAGATTGATTTGTGGTTGAAAATTCAGGACTACTGCGTTATAGAATGAGTAAACACACTCTAGTTTGGGATGGATATTCTTTAGGAACGAAGATTTACTAAATAGTTCACAACTTACGAAGAAGCTTACCGAAGGGATTTTGTGTAAAACTTTCATCCACCCAATCTTTTCAACTAGCACGATAGTCTCTCAGTTCTCCACATAGGAACGTTACGGTGAGTAGCAGAACACAAAGAGAAGAGAGGAATGAAACAAGAGACAACGCGAAATGAATGGGGACCGGTCTGAGGCTAGATCTGTCGTCGTGTAGCCTCCAGCGGGGCGCCGCGCCGTCTCCCACCACGACCAAACAAAACAAATGCACGCATGACAAAAAATAATAGAATTCCTATAATCCAGGAGGCACTGGAGCGGGGGGAGACCTAGATTACAACTGAGATAGAGCGACTGTATCCCTACGCGAGGGAACGGTGTGAAATTACCGAGCCCGGCCTACCTGGCGCACCGAACTGTCCCATATTTCGTTAAAACTGTCGCATCTTCTAAATGGCGTGGAAATTAGAACGCGTTATAACGTGTTTATGGCCCGGGGATCCCGATTTTTGAATGGAACGCTTGAATTATTGTCGCGATAGGATTTTGTTTCCGCGACGACCCGCTCCGTTCCATTGTCGCCTGCGTTCGGCTTCATTTAACAAAACGTGGCTCCCGACTTGAATAATGGCGCGGAATCGGAGCCCGATAACATGGCGACTCATCGCGGGAAATTAAAATCTATTGTTGCACCTTGTGTTACCTGGCTTTGTTAAATGCACTGGAAACTAAATTTAAATTGTGAAGATGCAGGGTGAAATGGAGTAACGAAGACTGATCATGTATAATCCTATATATTGTTGTGATAACCTCGATTACTAGATATTTTTAATTTCCCAGATATTTAAGATAAATTAATCAATAATCAATAGGGTTCTAGGAGAAGAAAAATTTAAATTGCCACTCATTTCTATGGCCAATGACTAAGGGAACCGAACTTTTACTACCTAATCAATTCGTTTTCTAGTAAACCGCTACAGTATAAATGGATATTTTTAGTAATTGTGAAGTAAATTAGAATCGTATTTTGAAAGATGTAATAATAGAGAATTCATTTTTATAACCGTTCTTTAACTTAGTTTACCTTTTGAATCCTTAAGATTAGTTAGATCAAAACCTACGTAAACCATGTTAGAGTAATGTCAACAAGAGATTAACACTCACCGGTCGCAGAGAGCATGGCTGATTGCACGAAGCCTTGAGGGAAGCCGAGCCCCAGGCCGTAGAGTTGGTGGAGAAGAGCCATGTCCTCGGCACTGGGCTGGGGTTGGTCCTTGGAGTCGATCTTGTTGGGAGTCATCGCAGATAGACCAGCCATCTGTAGCATCTGGAGTTGCGCCATCTGCTGTTGTTGGGAGGCGCTGGTGTTGTTGTTGTTGTGGTTTACCTCGGACCCAGGCACTGGAGGGACGGTGAACTCGCCGTCACTCGCATTACCCGACAACTCGCTCTTGGACATCCTACTCTCCAGGTAGGCCTTCACTATGTCGATGTGCTTCTTGGTGAAGATGTGGTCTTGCACGGAATACTTGTGGGAGTACTTGAACTGACAGAGCTTACACTCCTCAGGCACCCTTTGGATGTCGGGTTCGTTGGTGCCGAGAACTTTTTGCAACGCGAGTTTGTTTTTCTTCTCCTTGGCACGGGCGTTTTGGAACCACACTTGGATTACTCTTTTGGGGAGTCCGATTTCTCTACCGAGCATTTCACACTCGGCCATAGTAGGTGTTTTGTAGTCGTTGAATAGGGCTTTCATACATTTAACTTGTAAACTGCTCATTTGGGTTCGGTATCTTTTTGACCCGGGTTGTCCCGGTGTTCGGCTTTGGGTACTGGACGCCGGAGAGGTAGGGTTACTGCCCTCCTCGCCTTCCATGTTGTCGGTACATTCTGACATGCTGTCGTCATCACAGAAACTCCTTTCACTTAGATCAGTAAGTGGGCCAGGATCTCCCATCATAGCTCGCAAATCCTGGTCCAAGTTCATTTTCATAGGCCTGCTCAAGTCCACTGGCTTGCTCAGGTCTAAAGGGCAGTCTCCTGTACTCTCTCCGGCTCGTCCGTTTCCCTCACTCTTTATTCTGAGATCTGAGGGGAAACCTTCTTTGGTCACAGCGCCGTTTTGCGTGACGTGTTGAGCTTGAAGCTCGCTTATATACCTCTTCATGGATTCTTCGTAGTATTTCTTTAAAGAATCTTCCATGTTGCCATGGAATGGAGGAAACATCGGTGGTATCATTGACTGGTTTGATTGACTTCCTCCAAAACTCTGTGACATTTTGTTGGATGAGTCACCGATCTGCGATGAGGAAAAGGAATGCGACGACTCAACACTAAGTTCTTCGTCAGGCAAAGCGTCGATATTGATTTCCCCACGGCTGCATTGATCAGCATGCTTTGTTGTTAGATGGCTTTCTAGAGCAGATTTCACTTTAAATAACGCAGGGCAAAATGGACAGCGTTTATTGATGACTTGTGAATGAGCTCGAAATTGGCCTTTGCGTTCTCTAGCTCTTGTGTTTTGAAACCAAACTTGTACGACACGCTTTTTCAATCCAACTTCTCTTGCGATGTTTTCTAACATTTTTCGAGATGGGTTGCTTTCTATCTGATATTTCTGGTAAAGATAATCCAATTGTTCTGGTAAAATTGTCGTTCTCAACCGCTTGTCTTTAGGTTGCTCGTTTTCACTTGTTTGGTGCTGTGGTCTGTCGTTGACATCCTCAAATTCATCGAATTTTCTTTTGTTAGATGCCAGCATAGAGATCAACGGATGTTGGTTTGGAGCGTTAGGGTTTATTGAGAGATCTGCAACAATGTTGTTTAAATGTATCTGTTGCTGTTGTTGTTGACTTTGTTGCTGCTGCTGATTTTGTTGTTGTTGTTGCTGCTGCTGCTGCTGCTGTTGTTGCATCTGAGCATGTTGTTGGAGAATGCCAAACGGACTATCAGGAGGATATGATGGGAATAAATTCGGATTCATTATATGAACTAGCTGATGTTCTCTCCAGAGATCAAATCTTGGAAACACTAAGTTGCAGTTATCACATTGGAAGGAGTTATCTTTGGTGTCAGGGGTTTGAGTACCAGAGGCTGCCGGGGAAGGGGGGTACATCGATTGAGAAGGTGTAGGGGTGATAGGTGCAGCTGGAGTAGATGGATTGCTCGATGTATTCATGCCAACTAGATTAGCGAGCTGGTTATGTTGATTTTGTTCAATTATGGTGCTTGAATTAGAATCTTCAGATGACAGGACAGCTGCAATCTGTGCTGCTGCGGCCTGTGCTTGTGCTGATCTCTTTGCATCTTCTTCTTTAAAACAATGTGTTTTCTGATGTCTAATAAGCTCATAATACCGCTGAAACACAAGCAAACACTTCTTGCACTGGTAATTGAGGCCGGGGGTTCTTTGGAATCTTCCAGCTCCATTATCATCCATTCCTGGACCCGGATCAACTGGAGGTTGGTTCTCATATACCTTCCTGGCTTTCTGTCTTGCGTTTTGGAACCAAACTACGATCACTCTAGGACTGAGACTCAACAGTTTTGACAAGTACTCCAAATCGTCATCTTTTGGGTAAGCATTATTCTCAAAGAACTCTTGCAAGACTTTGATTTGGTAATCGGTAAATCTGGTTCTGTTTGCTCGCTTACCACTTGATGAATTGGCAGAATTTTGCCCTCCAGGTCCTAGCATTGCTTGACTGAAACAGTCAAGAGAGTTGGATCTTCCCGGACTCAAGCTTCTAGAGGTAGGCGTCATGGGAATGCCAGAGGACATGTGGTTTGGCGAGGTGAAGTTTGGTGGAGTCAACTTAGGAGGCAGCATGTTGGAATGAGAGGATGGTATCTGTTGGTGCTGATTATTCATAGACATTGACTCTGGTCCGAGTTGAGATGATATGATGGAGGTCAAAGTCAGGTTTTCAGGGGAATTGTTTCTTGCTGGAATAACATTCATTCTGTCATTCGTATGAGGACTCGTCGGTGACATTACTTGCCCTTGGTAGATATTAGGCTTTTCATCGACCATTTCCCGCTTCATTTTCTGTTCGGCCTCCATCAACATGCTGTTGAATCTTTGTTCGTCCAGTTGATGCTGGGACGGGATATCTCGAGGTTCTTTCTTGATTGATTCAGGGGGATGAGGGAATTGTTGCTGATGAAATGGACTCTGCGTCTGCATGGGGGAGGATTGTTGTTTCTGTTGTTGTAGGTGAGATTGTTGCTGCCCGCTTTTATGAGGGGGTTGCATCGGTGATGCCGACGGTTGCTGTGGAGCTGGGGGTGGAGGTGGGGGCGGTGGAGTAGGTTTTACTGCCGGAGGTGTTTTTGGAGGCTCCTTTGCAGGAGTGGCGGGCTCCTCCGTGCTGGTACTACTTCCACTATTGTTCAGCGGCATCACTTTAGCTTCCCCCGTCTTCTCGTATTCTTCAAGGTTTAGAGTCGTTGAAGGCGGGTTATTGAAATTGTAAGGAGAATCTTTATTCCTCTGGCGCTCTTTAAACAGAGTGTTTCTAAACCAGTGTTTTATGACTTTAGGTGGCAGACCACTCTGTCCAGCCATCTCATGAATTTGCTCTTCTGACGGTGAGTTGTTTATGTCGAAGTGAGCGCGCAGTATCTTGAGTTGGTCGTCGGTAATGCGAGTGCGAGCGCGTTTCTGCTGAGATGCATTCACCTGCAACACGCCACATTACAAGCTACTACAGCGCTAAATGAATGCTAAATACATATCTCATTACATGCACATGTTGAAATTACATCAGGTAATTCAATGTAAAACTAGTCTGGAAACACATTACTAATCAGGTTATACTCGTTGGCTACGTTGCTTTATAAATGATTGTTCTATGTAAATTGTAAAAACTTTATGCAATTTTCGATTTAGTTAACTCGTTTGGTTGTTTATAAGTACAAAATTATCATGACTGGATCGTCATAAAAATCTGTAGAAAAGACATATGTCGAGAGAAACATCAACTCAGCGTCGATATATTCTACAAAACCTTCAGTGTAGAAGTTCAATCCCTTTATGAATGCAACCATAACATATTTTCAAAGTGACAAAAATACATACAATATTTTTAACAAAATAATACTACCATATGAGTTCGCAATATTGATAGTGAATACGTTTTGATAACTGTGTGTAAGTATAACTCTTTGATAACTCTTTAAAAGTATTAAAGTTACACTGTACATGTTTTGTACTAACATTAACTAAATGTTTTGCTGTGGACATAGATTGTATTAAAAACTTTCCTACAATAACCAGTATCAACACCCAGTATCGTGGTTGAAGAGAAAAATACTGTTCAGAAAATTTAAACTTATATTGTACTTAATAAAAAAAACATGACTAGCTACTAGACTTAACTATTAACTACTCTGAAATTAGGCTTTTTATAATATTAACCCAATCAAAATAGATAATGTTAGATGTAAATCATTCTGTTAAAGAAGAAAAATGTATTTCATGGTTTGCTTATTTACTTCCAATGATTATATTGTGAACTACTTTTAACATTATTTATTTTAATGTATATAAAAAATGCTACAAGAAACTTTAAAGTGTATAAGTGCTTTTTATTTATTTGCCAAGTTGACTCGAATTAAATTTTACCAGAATATTACTTTTAATGTACATTGTGTATTTCGTAATTGTTAATAACTAATTGTGCCATTAAGTGATTTTTCTTTAGCTGAAATTAATTTTTACTACTAAAACTAAAACATTTAGACTAGAAATACACTAGTCAATACAATAGTTAAACTCACGGCTTGCTGCTGTTGCTGCATAAGGTGTTGCTGTTGCTTGGCGAGCAGAGTGGCCGTGTCGATTCCAGCACCTTGGGCGTTGAAGCCAACCATGGGGTCAAAGGGCGGCGGGGGCATCATCATGGGCACCAGCGGGGGCTGCAGGTTCATGGCAGCGAGGGCGGGCATGTTGAGGCCCAGGGGCAGACCCATGCCCAGACCAGCCATGCCCATCATCATGGGGTTGAACTGCTGCAGCTGCTGCTGAAGTTGTGAGGCGGCCATCACGTTGAGGGCTGCTTGCATCTCGTTCATCTGCTGCGCCAGAGACATGGACAGGTTGGCGGGGTTGTTGGGGTTTGTACCTCCCATACCAGCGGCCACCGCGGCTATCGTGGCAGGCAGAGAGTCTGTAGACGAGGCAGGGGTTGACGATGCTGTAGGTGTACTAGGGGCAGTCGTCATTTCACGATCCGGCGGGGTGCCTTGGGATTGGTTCAGTCCGATCTTTGCGTGAAGCGCTTCCTTATTATCCTCGTCTTTCTCCGGAGTGACGTCACTACCCGATGTCGTGGTAGATGTCACGGTCGTATTTGTCGAAGGTGTGCCACTACTCGAAGTGGGCACGGATTTCTTCTCGTATTCACATTTAAATTGCTGAGCGTATTTCTCTAAAAAGTCGAGGGGCACTAGATCACGATGTACTTCTTCACAATGAGCTTTCAGAACCCATACACTCGAGAACTCTTTGTTGCAATGCTGGCACGTCGATTTGGCCACTTCCGGTAGGTCTACAGTGGGTGGTTCTTCCTCCACTTTGACTTCTACTTCCGGTTCTGGGGGCGGTACCTCAGGTTCAGGTTCTACAGTTGATATTTGTGGAGGCTCCTCTACAGCGGGAGTTGTCGAAGAGATTTCAGCCATCAGTTTCTCATTTTCTTCTCGTTCCTTTCTCTGCCTTCTTTGGTGGTTTTCATTGAACTGCATAACGAGATCGAATCCGAAGCTTTCGAGCAAATGTTTGTACATCTGGGAAGACTTCTTCGATGGTATGGTTATTCTAGGAAAGTTATCTTCAGAGAGGGGAGTCATTGGTCCTGGTGGTGGAGTTTTTGTTGAGGGCGAGGACAAAGATTGTAGTGTATTCGATGCAGAAGATGGAGTATTGGGTAGAGGAGGAAACATAGTCATTGGGCTGCCAAACATACAGTATAGTTGCTGATGTGTCGTGAGTTGTTCTTGAGTTGTAAAAAGAGCGCTGCATCTTTGGCAGGAAACCACACCTTGCTGGTTCGGGGACGGTATCACAGATGATGGCGCATTCGAAGTATTATTAGCTATGCTAGTAGGAACTGATGTCAAATTCGGTGTTGAGGCAATAGACGAAGGAACATTACCGGCCCCAGGAGAGGAAGCTGTCACCTGAGATGCACTCGATGTCGGAGGAGATGACAGGAGTGAGGACTTTGGAGACGATCCCAGAATATCTTGAATCAACTTTTTATGTTGATCTTGGGCCTTTTGTGGCTCGGGCTGCTCTATCAGTGGTTTAGACAAATCAATTTGTCCAGTCAAAGCAAGATCTTGCAGTTTGGATGCTCTGGTCTGATGAAGCACGGATCTCATGTGGATGTCTAGAGTCGACCCTTGACTATATGCGACTTTGCAGATGTTGCACTTGTATGGTTTCTTGTCATCTTCGTCCATAGCAGATGATTTAGGCGTCAGCTGACTCGGAGACACGCCTAGTGTTGCAGCGAGAGCGGCGGCTGCCACGCTTGCTGCTGTTTGTGGCGATACTGCAGGATTGTTGTTGTTATTTTGTTGCTGTTGTTCTTGCATTGCCCTTTTTAGTTTGTGCAGGTGGCTAACAGAGTTGTAATGGACAAGCAGAATGTTCTTTTGTGTAAAAGATTCTTTGCAAACGTCGCATTTGTAGGGTCGGTTCGGATCTAAATATTTCTCCATCGGGTAGCTTAGTTTCTCACCCTTTCTGTGCAATAATGTCTTGTTGTGACTTGTTAAATAGCTCTGTCTGGTGAACGCTACTTTACAACGGTGGCATTTGTACTTTCTATTAGGGTCATTATAGTTGTCCTCAGCTACCGCTTGACTGTTCAGGTAATCTTCGAGAAATTGTTGCTCTTTATATACAATCGAGTCATCACTGTTTTCCCCGTCACCAGTTTGATTAGCAGATTCGTCAGGATTATCCTTGTTAGGGCTGTCATCGACATCCATTACATCATCAGAATCCATTTTCATACTTTCTTTCTTCAGCAACTCGTTTGTAGAGGGATCGAGTATTTGCCCACTGATGCCGGCCAGGAGAAGAGGATTGTTCATCAAACTCTGCTTGTACGCCATCAGTTCTTCTTCAGATAGCTCGGAATGTGATGTTTCAACGTGTTTATGCAGCGCTAGGATTGATCTGAAGCTTCGTCCACACAGCACACATTTTGTAGCGTCCCGAATGAGATGGTACTGGGAGTGAAGCTGTAATTTTTCCATGGTCTTGAAAGCTAAACTGCATTGACTACATCTGTACTTGTACACGTGCTTCTCTGATACAGCAACGGCCGGTGTGGTATTGCCTCCCCTGGCGTGGATCTCTCTGAAATGCATCTGAAGACTGTGGGCAGTCTGGAAGTACTGGTTGCAGCCTTTTTTCCAACAAAGGTACCCGGGACCACTCGGAGTCTGTTTCAGTTCTAGGTGCCCCGTTTCGTTTTGATGTGCACACAGTTCATCGATGTTCCGAAAGCTCTTCTGACACGTCTGACATTTGTTTTCATCTTCGACTTGGTCATCAGTCGAAGAGAGATTCTGGGCTTCCTCTTTATCGTCTTCTCTAGACCCATCAGATTGGTTTTGCTTCTCGTGGTCCTTGCTGCCGGAGGAGGATGCGACTGAGGCAGGACTGTGATGGTGTCCAGGAGGAGTCTGTTGAGTGCTCGACCTCGAACTGTTGAGCCAGTGGGATTGGTCGACCAACATCAGAAGCCTTTGAAGGCCTTCGGAGTTGACGCTGTGGATCTGCATCACGTGTTTCTCAAGGGCAGGTCTGTCTTTGAACGCGTCTTGACAGAGCGGACACAGCATCTCTCTAGGAGGTGACGATGCTGAGGGTGGTCTTTCATTCTGGGAGTGCTGCGCCAAGACATGAGCTTGGATCCTCATCTCGGAACTGCTGGTGTAGTTGCAGTAAGGGCACATGTGAGTTTCCCCGCCGGATTTGTCATCTGGATTGTCTGTGGAAGACTGGGACTCTGTCATGTTGGGTGTTGACGACGCTCTCTCCCGCATACTGGCCTCGGCTCGGTCTGAAACACAGAACACAAACACTGTTAATAAAACACACAAACATTAAAATTAATTTTAAACAGCTCACTGTTAGCAAATTATTTCTAACATAGCTAAACTAAAAAAATAACACAAAACTACTCCACCTAAAATGAGGAAACGCAACAGAAGTTCTCACTTCCCAAATGTTGGACGATTAATTTCAGCCTATGTCACGTAATGGGAAGATGAAGGCCCAACCGCAGAAGCCGGGACCACATAAATTCCCACAGTAATTAGAAAATACCGAACAATTGTACAGGCTCAGTCCCACAGCACGGCGCTGCAATCTGTGACAGCTACAATTTTATTAGCATCAGGCAAATGTCAAAATAAATAGAAGCGGGTAGACTCGTAATGGGCAAGCTGACATCTCAAAATGTAATCTTCCAGTGTCAGCGAATTAAACGTAATTCGGATAACCCGGTGGTCGCCTACAATGCGTCCTGAATGTAATTATGTCCCCATTAAACATTCGCTGTCGTTTTAATGTTACTTGTAATTTATTTCAACTCTTTCAGATCGCTGCCATTGTTGCGGAGGCGTCGCTTTTGTTGCCTCGCCATTGTCAGAGTCCGGCGTTAATCCGAGGACAATCTTAATAGCGGGATAATTTGTTTCGTTATTTTACCCTGAAAGACGTTTGGAGGACATCGGTACAGTTAATGTGAATTACACTTTAATTGTCTTCACTTGAACAAAGTATCAAAGTTTCAATGCTCATTGAATTTCTTATTGAGTTTTTAACGTTTCATTAACCGCAAATCAAGAATGAACCGACAATTCAATCATAGATAATTAAGTTGATTAGTTTTTCTTTTGATTTGGAAATTGATTGTAATCTTATCACCAACTTAAGAACAGAATTAAATTGACTATTGGTAATCTCTTTACTGTTTTCAACCTGAATTAAAAGTATGATTTTCTTTGTGTCTAGTACCTATAAAACAAAAAAGTGTCATCAAATTGCTTGTAAATTACCAATGGACAATGAGCTTAACATCGAAATTCTTTAAAGAATAAACCTTTATCGTATTCACAAAAAGTAAGTATAGCGTCATATTAATAGTTCAAAGTTTTCAATCACTGGCAGACAAATATAGATGGCAAGAGAGTAATCAATTACCTGTATTTGAAACTGAGATTCAAATCAAAGTTCTATTTACACATTATCAGCGGCTTAGCGAGTCCCAGCTTTATCACGAGTAATCACGGCCCAAAGATTGAGTAGTTTCTTATCAGAAAAGCAAACATCAACAGCTCTTGACTCATTACAGACATTAATTAACTTCTCAGATTGGTGATAAGGCTGGTAAATAGGCTGCGCTGATACCGGGAAATTAGAAAAACGTGACGGCGTACTTGTAAATTGCCATTGTTTATACCGGGTTAATCCCCAAGTTGAATGTGTTATTGTATGAAATCTCAAACATCATTAGTGCCTTGAGATGGATTATTATGCAATCTACTCATGTAAAAATTAAAAAAAAGATGTTAGTGATCATAAATGATGATTTTAGTATCTACATCAACAACATGACTGACAATGGGATAAACATTATGCGGTTAGAGGATAAGGGAGAGCCTTTTAAATTACCATAACAGGTTAGTCTCAGATTAGTCCCAGCATGCATGATAAAAAAGTTAAAAGCCTATTAAGTTATGGTCCCAACTTTTGTGAATACTATACACATTTTCAATTAGCAGATTGTCAGTAGTTGGAGTGAAGAATTTAAGCACATATTATTTAAAGACGGGAAATTCTGTGTTCAAAATCCGAGATTGCAGCTTGTATTTTAAAACACGCCAGTACAGTACTGGGCAAGACTCGGGGACGCGGCAAACCAGCTGGACTCGCCTGGCTGCACGTAGGTGGTGAAGCAAGTGAATTTTGTATTTCTCTATTGGAGCGACCGCCTCCTAGCCAATGAGACACAAGCTTCCATACAAGGAGGACAATGTGCCCCTCCAGCATCTGATAAATAGCCTCGGTCCCTTACTCTAGCCTCGACCCGCCAATTAGTGGTTCGACCGGTTCCTCGTCATCTCTAGAGGCTATGGTGATCGACTTTCTATAGTTTAAGTTATCGTTTGTATTTTTAGAACAACATATGCTGGTCGGGAGTAATATACAATGCGATTTAAGTTACTTATTGCGTTAATCCAAGATTATTGATAATGCGATTTCGGGTTTTTGGATAGATGTTTTGGATACACATAAAAACAATAGTTACGTATAGTAATTTTACGGACCACCGAGTTTGTACTTAGTAGTTTCAAAAATATATTTTAAATACCGTGTCCCCGCAAGCTTATCACCCTAATTACGCTACTAACAAGATACTATTGAGGTAACTGTATGAGGTGAGCGTACCTTGATCCTGTTCAGGCTCCGGCGGAGGACTCAGTATCTGGAAAACCTCGCCGATGTCCGTCTGCAGTTCTTTGCCCTCGCTGCGGCGTTGGAGCTGGTGGATCTGCTCCATCTGGAGATGTTTCATAGAGCGGACGTGCTGCAGGAGCGGCAGCTTGGACCTGGACGAGAAGCCACACAACACACAGTGGTATATCCTGGGGCCCTCGGCGGAGTTGAGGTGGCGGAACAGCAAGGAGCTCGCCTCATGCCGCTGCCCTGCCGCGTGCAACTGCAGCTTGTGAGCGGAGTTGGTGTAGTAGTCACAAGCGTGGCAGCGCACTTGCACTCCCCCAGGGGAGGACACGTACTTCAGCTTCCACTCGTTCCGCGGTCCTCCCTCCTTCACGTGGTTCACGTGTTGCAGTCTCTGCAGATGCTTGTCCGTCTTGCAATGCAGTTGGAAGTTCGCTTTTAGATTGGTCTTGTACGTGCACAGCTTACAGACGTAGTTGCCGGCTACTAAAGCGAGGATTTCCTGCTCTCTGATTTTCGTTCTGTCCGCAGACAGGTGGTGGGATAGTTGCTCTAAAGAGTCGGTGGAGAAGACGTTGCACACGCAGCACTGATACAGGTGGTCGGGGTTGGGGTCCGCAGGCTCTGGTGGGGGCTCCATAGTCTCGGGATTCAGCCCCATGTCCATGTGAGGAGCGAGCTCAGGTGGAATGTGCGGTGGGAGCTGGCCACCCGTCATCATCTGTATCAGCAAGGCCTGGTTGTAAGCCATGTCCGCGAGAGCGGCCTCCGTGTGGGGAGGAGGCTTGTCTCCTGGCAACGTCAGTCCCGGGTGGAAGTGCATCAGAGACTCGAAGTTGAGTTGTTGATGATGTGACTGCTGGATTGCACTCAACGTTTGCATGTGTTTCACGTTCTGCTGAAGCACCATCATGTTGTGCGTGTGTTTCTCGCTCGTCATGTGGATGCGGAGGTTGCGGGCTACGTTCGTCTCGTAGTTACAGACGTCACACCTGAAGGTAGGTTTCGGCTTCTGACTCTGCCCACTCGTCAGTGGACTGTGATGGTGATGTGGGTGATGGTGGGCTCCGGGACTCGACATGCCGGCAGGTTTATGATGTTGAGGGGGAGTGGTAGAATGTTGACTCATGTCGTTAGGAACTCCTCCGTTTTGCAGTTCTTGCATGTTGTTTAAATGTTTGTCAGACTGCATGTGAATACTGAGGTTGCCTTTGGTGGTGGTCGAGTAGTTACACACTTCACATCGGTACGGTTTGTAGCCACATGTGTATGTTTCCCCTCTCGCCAGCCGAGGATGTGGCTGCCCCGCTATGCAGTAGATGCACGATGTTTCTGTTTCGGGATGTTTTTCTTTCATGTGGATCTCTAACGTTTCTTGGTATTTGTAATGCCAATTACACTTTGGACATTTCAAGGTTTTACAAGAGTTGCGAGAATGCATTCCGGCCAAGGGGCCACCGATACCCCCGAGCCTCGAGGAACTTAGAATGAGCTCGCACTTGGCACATTCGACCCCGCTAGGTCTGCCGCCCATGTGGTCGGGACACACGCCTATCGTCGTACCCGTGAGGAAGTTGGGCGGTGGTTGCGGGTAGCCGATGGACTGGGATAGTAGTGGGCTGAGGGTGGAGCCCGGTGAGGGACTCGCCCCCGGGGATACGCTGCTTCTACCGTTGTTGCCGGAAGAAACCGCCGAAGCGGACACTGGACTCTTGCGAGTCAAGTCCATAACACAGTTCATAGCACTCATCGATCTATTAAAATTATTACTACTAGAACTACCGTTTTGAGGTAGGGAGACCGAAGTCTCAGGAACTTGTTGACTGAGGACGGCTCGTTCGATACCGTCCACACACGTTTTATCTTCACCACACTCCGATGGACCGACCTCGCCGGGGCCGGGAGCCGATGATTGGACCTCGCTGTACGCCGTCGACGACGAGGTAGCGGTCAGGGACATCGAGGACTCTAGATGTTTGTCACCCCCGAACCCCAACAATGGCGACACTGGCTCCAAGAAAGACACGAGAGGCTCCTTCTCTTTCCCCACACACTGGATGATGGCCGACATATTTTTATGTCCCAAAATGTCCTTTTCATCCTCTCGTAAAACTAAATTATGGTCTCCCATCGCGTGCGCGACGAAAGACTTAGTGTAACCGAAAGACAGTTTGCAAATAAAACACATCAGGATAGGTTTGACCGGCACAGAAGAACAGTCTTGACCTGGCTTTTTGGTTTCAGAGCCTTCGGGTTTGTCCCCGTCAAAGCCCTTGTTCCCCCGGACCGTGTATACCCTGTAGCTGTGCATGATGGGAACCTCCGGAACCGCCTTCTTGTCCTGTAGCAGCTTGTTGGAGTACGGCGCGGAGTTGCCATACAGAGCGTTGTACAACGAGGGGTTTCTTGAGATGTAAAAGGCGTTGGCGATCTGAGGGAACACTTGAAACTGCGAGGGGTTGACTCCTCTGCCGTCGACGATGCAACCGTCACCGATCAGTTGGGGAAGTTCGCTGTCGTCTTCACTCAGCTCGCTGTCCTCGATTATATAGGCCGAGCCGTCCGGGTTGTAAACAATCTTGCCGTCGAACTTCTCGACATCACTGGTTCCCCAAGAGTCTTCGGCGTAGGCATCTTTAGTCCTCGCCTTCTCCGAGCTCTCCTCGGACACCATGGCCTCGTCTCGGACTAATGTTCGGTCCTGACAGTCTTCCGATAACCTCGTCGTCCCAGGGATCTGATCGTGGACAAACTTGCTACCCGAAGGCGGTGACGACATTCTCCTCTCCTCCTCGTCTCTGCCCGCGATGATTCCCGCAGGTGGAGATGCGGTGGTTTCGTCCTCGGGACTCATGGTGTCGTCTTCTTCTCTTTTCCTTTTCCTCTTCTTCCTGTTCTCGGCACAACTGTCCCCTTCGTCTAGCGACGTGTCGCCGAGGATAGGAGACGGCATCGCTGGATCGCTTCGACCATCACATGCTGAGATGCTGGGCACCTTGTCCAACCTGAAACAAAAAATATATTAAGTATGCGAGTACTAGGCCCTACTTCAAAGAGCATATTGACATTTACAGAAATTAAATGCATTGAATATGTAACTGCATCAGATAAATTTAAGTTTCCTATTCTTATGGGGAACAGCAGCAACTCTTCCACTTATGTCATCGTCACTAATATTACTTGACGTTTAACATTATTTTACTTAACAAATAATTAGCACCATATTATTTGTAAGAGATCCTGTTCTGCAGCTGGAGGTACATCGTTACACAGAGATTACATTGAGGTCGTATTGAGTGAATTTTTCTCACGTAGGAGGAGTTATTTGGAAGAGCGGGTCCTACAAAAGCAGCTTAGCCACCCAGGCTGCCTCGGCTTGTCTGGTCCGGACAATAAATTCATTACGATTGCACATTCACAATGACCACATAAATAGTGGGATTTGTTCGTCGAATGCCAAGGGACCTTGTCGACTGGAAAAAATGAAACGTTACAACTCGTTGCGGTCCGAAATGAGTTGTTGTATAATGAGTAAGAATTTTCTGTATGTGTCTGGTAGGTATCACAACTTTTCATCAAACAATTTCTATTTTAACATAAAGTATGTAAAAAACGAACTTTTTGAACAAACAACCAAGTGAATTTTACCAACTATTACGTATATTCAGCTATGAGCTTGGGTAGAATGACAAAATTCCCGGGCAATACAAAAGTCCAATTGATCGATTCCAGCCGTTACACAGAGATAATCCGAGTCCACAGTGACGGAGCGTTATCTGCAGGGCAGCTGTGCAAGCAGAGGTTATCAGTGTTACTGAACACATTCCGTTAATGATTTGTGACCAGGTAGAGGTAGAAGCAGACAGAGAGGCCTTGTGGAACGCAAACATCGGTCAACAAACAAGGGACAGGAAACTGCGAACCGAACTGAGCGCTCTTTGTCAGATAAGCTGAACCCCCGAGGCACTCCTCAAACTTCGGAGACGAAAGCGGTATAAAACAGAGGTTTTTATGGTGAATGGTTACACGATGTTTTCGTACCAAGTAGGTTGAACGTTGCATATGCCACATACTCTTTACCAACCGAATTAGGCACAATATTGCATTCTAATCCAGTCCATTGCACCACGATCGGCGTTCATAATTACAGACCCATTTCACATTTCACATTTAATTCAAAACGAGGTGAAATTAGGGCGCGCGTCGTGACCGCTGCCAGCTACGAGTGTTCACCCGCCATATCGGCGCGGTTATCGTCGAATTAACGCATTAACGTCCGTTATTGTGGAATTAAAGCATTAACGGGTCCGTTATAGTAAAATTAACGCGTCGTACTCCACGGCTATTACTAGAGGTGAGGACAAACCGAGAACGCAGGTTCGCTACGCCCGCGAGTACTGCAATCTACTGGTAACCGCGTACCTAGGCTTGCAGACTGTCATTATTCAATTGTGCACCACTGGAGGCGGCGCGGCGGGCGGTTACCATGGACATTTGCATTTGCGCGATATGTCCTTTGCTAAGCGTCTTTGTACTTGCTTCCTGCATGGCATTGGCAACTTTTAAATATTTCACAACTCCAACGATTTTTAATTTACAATCACTTCTTTCTCCACAAATTTCCAGCATCCCAATCCATAACTGGAGTTTCTGTCGATAAACGGTGTAGACAGACGGAGAGCGAGTGTGGGAATCGGGAGTGGCTGATTAGTGACCAGAATGAAGGGCGGTGCTAAGCTAATTACCTTACCTGGGCCATCGCTGATTGTAACAATTTTAATGCGGCTCCTCACGCACCGGTGGCTGGCGCCCACCGGACAAATTACACAAAGAAAATTGCCGTTCGGTATTAGGATCCCAATTATAAAGCGGACTTTGTCTTTCATTATGGCTTTTTGCGAGCTTCTCGCCGACTGGGGATGCACTTTTGCGGCAATAAATCTTGATTGTGCTCTAATTCGCGGCGGCAAAAGGGATTGCGACTTTGTTGCCAGTCATGTGATACAGAATTCGGAAGGTCGGTCACGAGTTCGGCTCACTTTGTGATACTTAGTATACAAGTACCGCTCGGTCGTACGTCGGAGGCAACCACGATTACGTCACTAACCACGTCCGAAGTCCCCTACCGGCGAAAGTCACAACCGTGCATTACATCGATCGTGCAATCACAAGATATCCCGCGTGCTTTCTCACGCCGCCCGTCGTAATTGAGCCGATTTTTTGCTTAAGGCCTCGGACTATTTTGTCCGCGCTGTATAATGATACATTACTGCGTTAATAAGCGAGCTCTACGGTAATAATTGAAACCGAACTTCGTGATCGGCCGGTAACTGCCCCATCATCGACCACCGCTTTCTCGGTCTGTGGATATCCTAGGGCACCCGCGCTAGATAACCGATCTACACGCGGCTCGTTTATGGCAGGAGTCGATCAGCTGTTTGGGAAGTATACATTGTTGAATTAGTTGAATTCGTAATTTATTGTATGTTTGTGAGTAAGTTACGGCAAAAATTTAGAAAAAACTCGATGTTTGGAACTAGATAAACAAAAATATTTGTTCACCTCTCAGTTTGTCAACGGGATAACTTTCAGTCGTTCAACACCTAACAAAACGAAAGTAACAACCGCGGAACAAAGCCCATTTCCCTTTCCGCGGCTAAATCAATACCGGGACCGGAGCTTTTAAAAACGTCGAGTGAGATTCACTCGCTGCAACATTAAGACGAGTTTCTTAAAACGCCAAATGGAAAATCTTTGTTTTTCGCGTATTCCACGGAAATCAAGCCCCTAAGTGTCTCGTACAAAAAGGCTTTCACCCCCCTCACGGGGTATTCCATCATCGCGAGAGAAAGAGGGAAACACATATATTTTTGATTGGTCGTCGGCCATTTTATGAATTCACCAACACAAATTCCCCCCGCGCCACCCCGAAGACGCGCGCACTCTGGGGGTGTGAAAGGGGAGGCGAAAATGAGCGGAATATAACTTTTTGCGAAATAAGCGAGAGAAGGCGTTAGGGAGTCTGGGTGGATTCAATTATGAGAGTAACCTGCCAGCTTATTAGAGGGTCGGTCATCCCGCTGGAGGAAAATATGAGGAATGATTTATGTTGAGAGAATGTCGGAGGATAAAGAGAAACGATTGTTTCAATGTTGGAAGAACCTTGTGCGTAGGGCGAACAACGTTGTGTTTACAATCAGGTGTAAATAAAAAATTCTTTGATTTACGTTTGAGATACGTTTATTACATATCTAAGGTGTACAAGTTTAAAAAATAATCGTAGAATACATTTATTAGTGGGGATTTATTTAGTCACAGATGAGTTTTATTATTTATGACGGTAAAATAACGACGTTGGAAGTTTTGAACTGCAAAAAGACTCACCAGGCACAAAACTTTCTTCAAAAATTCCTCTAGACCAAACAAAATTTCACAAAATTGTTTTCACAAATTTCCCAAACTTCTGACCACATTCGCCGACTCCCACCACCACCTACGCTCCTTGGTCAGATAAATCTTAAAAATCCGAAAGCGCGACGGCAGCCGCGCCTCCTTGATTTACTGGCTTTTTAATTATCCATTCAGACAGCAGCTTTGTGTTGTCACTTAATTGGCCAAGATTTGGGGGAGTTAAAGAGACAATATTTCTGTCCACGCAATATGCGGGTTATACGGGCTCTGATTCTGGTTTGATTCCAGTTCCAATTCACAGGTCACATTCCAGTTTGCCCTTATCATTGATTGAATCAGCCCTTATGTCGCTCGATTCCCTAACGGATTGACAATAGTTGGAAACTATGGGATTGGGGTAGGTTGTGTTCCCCAGGATGTGGGTAAATTGTGGGGTAATGTGTTTTACAACACGTGAAGTACTATTTATTTCCTGTAAGCACAAATAATACGTAAAATCACACTTGTAATAATATATTTACACCTATAGTACTGTGTACTCACAGGACGGTAGATACTCTTACAAGATGGTAAGTAGTGATCGATTTCGATTGGACACTCCAATCATCATCAGACACAATAGGCGATTGACAATAATCAAAATGGAGTCCCTTACATATACTGTACTATTGGATACCATTTATTTATTTATTTATTCCAACTCCAAGATCACCAATTTACAATGTGGATTCGAGAAGCCTATGTTGTAACAACATACATTTTAACAGATAACTTAACTTAAATCCATGGCAAGAGCAAAGCAACATTGGTAACAGGAAATATAATCTTGACTAGGAGAGCAATAATTTAACAATGAAGTACAAAATAATTGTGAAAAAGCAATAACAAAGGTAAGAATTTGGTCCGGCAATACAGTTAAAGCAAAACAAAACAAAAATAGATCACCTCTTGCCATCTTTTATATGTATTTACTGTCTTGTGGGTAAACAATATAAGTGTAAATATACTATTACAAGTGTTATTTGACGTATTCTTTGTGCTTTCAGGTAATTTAATAACCCGTAAGATTAATTTTAATTATTTATTTAACAAACAATTATTAAAAAAGTCTTTTGCAACTGGGAAATTTAATAATAAGTTTTTATTTAATAATTATTAACCTGGGTGATCAATTATAGATCATATAATCAATTGGCATTGTGTAGGAATTTAACCCCTATAAAATAAAAATATAATTTGTAAAATTTTACACAATTAATCGAAAACTAAGTAAATAACTCAATACAAACGTAAAAAGTTAAAATATCTCTCCAATTCACCTAAAAAACAATTATTGGGTGCCCGAGAGGGTTGGACAACGTACTGTCAACTCCCCCTCACAACTACCCCTAGTAGTTGCAGAATTGTCCGCTAGGTAGGGTGAGCGTGCAGCGCTGTCGTACAACTGACCTACGCTACGTCACCGTAAACTTTATAGCACTTTTATAAATCAATAAACATGATTTAAGAGCAACATTCCACCCAAAAGTACCTGTAAATGTTTATATACCTCGTGACGTAATACAGACACACATCTTAGTATTGTTATGTAATG